ATGATTTCTTACTTGAGGATGATGGTAAACCTTCTTAGCCAGAGTAGTCTTTCCAAGACCACCCATGCCACATATGGAAACAACTCGGTGTCTTCCCTCGTCTACAAGAACCGAGACCAATTTTTGTATGTCGTTATCCAGCCCAACAACATTGGTTTCCACCATATGAGGATAAGACTGCCTCAACTGTTGCCTCTTGGATGAAGCACTTGAGCTTGCTCCATCCGTTAGTTGTTTTATGCCATAGACCTGCAACCGTTGGCTCAAGTAAGAGATTCTGCTTATGATTCCTTCAATGTCTGACTTGACCTGGTGGAGCCTCCATTCTTCTTTGAAGATGCAGGCACATCTTTTGATGAAATTTGAAATACCTCCCCTCCTTTTGGATGCAATTTTAAGAGCAAAAGTTTCAATGACATCCTCAGCATCATAAGCAATCTCTCTAATTTCAGCAACCCACATACGAACCATCTCATTCTCAGCTTGTCTCGAATCTGCCTCTTTTAAGAAGCTCTTCATCCAAACGAGCTCCATTTGCAAAAGCTTAACTTGGTCATCCACGCCCCGCAGCAATTTTGCTTCCTGAATTACTAAATTACCGAGCCTTACTGCAACATTGGACACAACAGATTCCGCCATATGTTATGCTCTTTTTTTCTCTCAACGAAGAAAGGTTGGTGAAATCTCTGTGGGTTTTTTTCTTCCATTTATAACTGCGATTACCATTATTAGATTTCTCAATTGCAACTTTAGAATAATATTGTTGCTTGTGGAACGGTCTAAGCAGCGATTCCTTAACAAAAGTGAGCTTCGTCCAAAATTCCTTGAGGAATTAATTCTTGAACTACCATCAGAAGCAATGATCACCTGGCGCTAAGAGAAATATACATTGGGTCTATTGCTTTGATTAAGTTGCATGGAAGATCGAAGTGACGTGGCCTACAATTAATTCATGACCTTTGTCATGCGAAATGAGTCAATAGAACAAGAAAATAATATTCCAAGGAATCCGTTCATTCCCTTTTCCCACCCCCTGTGGTTTACGTAAGGAATGAGAATGGAGAAAAAAGTAGAGGTTCTTCACTGAAGAAACCTACTACCCCTTTATGATGGAAAAAGTAAAAGTTTATTGTTGTCCACTCCTGTTTTTCTTTAATTTTGGTTTCGTTACTCTGAGAAATCTACAATGGATAGTTAAACATTACTTCATCTAGGTTCCCTTTTTGTTTGGGTAAATATTTAATTTTAGTTTATGCATAGTTACTCCTTTACAATCTTGTCTCATTGAGATATGGTTAATTCTAGAGAGGGGACTTAAAAGATCAATCCACGTCATCTTATAATTAGTCCACACCCTAAACCTCACTCCAAAAATGAAAAAAAAGAAAAAGAAGAAAATAGTCAAAGTTAAAAAGACATGCTTTGCTTCAATTAATACATAAACAGATAGTGTTAACGTTGATGTGATAAATAGTCCTTTTGTTTTTGAAAAGGAATGGAAATTATAAAATCAATTTCTGATGTAAATTTTTTCCTGAGAAACTTGAAGAGGAAAAGGCCATAATAAAATTTGATACTAAAATAATCTCAACAAATTACCATTATAAATGATTAAACAAGAAAGAAAGATTAACATAGAGCGTTACCTTTATAAAAGAAAATTTTTATGCAAGACAAATGAATAAACAAACGGACATTGGAACATGGATGATCGAACCAAACACTTTGAATTATAAATGATAATATTAATTTAAATTCTGGACAAAAGATAATAATAATTTGAAATAATTGCAACTGGGAAAGACGAAAATAAGAGAGAAATGGGAACACAAAACTGAATTTAAAAACTCTAATATTGAAGCTTACGTCAAATTGACAGTCAGGGAAGGAATTAAAGAATTGAATTAGTAGAAAGTTTAGCGTATAAGTGAAGAATTTTGAAGGCTTTCAAGACAAATAGCAGACAAATGGGCTCAACAAGGAAAGGCATTGACGTTGCCCATGTCGCTATCTGATTTTGATTGGGTTGGGTCCCCATGTTATAAAAATTCTGTAACCGACATATTGGGCCCAGTCCAAGCCACGTGTTCGTTTAACGAGTTATGGGTTATTAGCCCCAAAAAAGCAATCCATTTTGGATGGATGTATTGCTAGAAAGAACAAGCAGATCCCTGTTATACATAGACCAATGGGACGGAGGGATGGATTTTTTAATTTCCCCTTATCTGCCAAACCGCAAGGAGCTCATAAACCAAGAGTTGATACTCCACAGAATAACAAATCAATACAAGTCATAAACCAGGAGTCAATACTTGTACAACATAACAAATCAATACAAGTTGTAAACAAAGAGTCAATACTTCGACAACATAAACATAACAAATACAAGTAGAGTCTTACGCTTCATTCACCAACCCACTCGTCTCCACACAACTAAAGAGAGCTTCTGCGAATTGGGGATATCGTTCAAGAGAAACAAGCTTGTGGCTTCTTTTCACGACTTCACCTGGAAAAAAGTAGAGGAAAGATATTAGCTCTAATAAGTGGTTTCAGACTTATAAAGCCGATAATGCGCGGTGACACCGATGACATCGAGAACCAAATTGGGGTCGATAGAAGCTCTGAGGATAAAGCGAGGAGAGTGGAGGCGCAGAAACCCCAAGTTTTTGTGTTTCTTTCTGATAGCAGAAGCACCGCCGAGGGGCCTGAGAGTGTGATTGAAAGCAAGGAATTGTCGGCTGATTAGAGGGAGGTTAGTGCAAGAGCGCAATGGAGAAGAAGGTGGGCGAGTTGGGTTTTGGAATTTAGAAGAGAAGAAGACCGTGTTGGAATCGATTGACGGAAGCACATAGACACCAGGAAAAGAAAAGAGAAACGCATCATTTTAATTTGTATAGCATATGCAATCTCCAAATGCCCCAATATTCATTTGTCCCTAGATGTTATTGTTAGTTCTATCAATGCCCCAAATTCTGAGATTTCTATTGATCTCTAGATGTTTACCTTTAATTTTTGTTCTTTCTTGTCAAATTTCCCTTCAAAATGTCTTTAAGCAACTTCTGCAATCTAAAAATACCCAATATTCTTCTATATAAAAAACAAAAAGAAGTATTTTATTATTATATTGTTGGCAACATATATTAATAAGGATGTGTGCTTATTTCTGGGCTATATATGATGACTTTTATTGCTAGTTTAAGTTTTTGCTATAGTATGTTAACTTGAGATTGTATATATCAATATAGTTTTCTTGTTCTCTGTTATTTCCCAGACTATGTGATTGAGGAAAAAATGGAAGAGTTGGGGAAGGACATGGTTGAACAGTGTGCTGGGTTGCCATTAGCCATTGTTGTTCTAGGAGGAGTTTTGGTTACAAAGCATTCATTAAATGATTGGCAAATAGTGCACGAAAATTTGAAGTCATACATAAGGAAAGATAGAAGTCAAAAAAAGCGGAAAGATAGAAGTTGGGGAGTCCATGAAGCAATAGCTTTAAGTTATGATAATTTGCCACCCTATTTAAAACCGTGCTTTTTGTATTTGAGTGTTTTCCCAGAGGATTACGAGATTCCTGTTGGTAAATTGGTCAAATTATGGGTGGCGGAAGATATAGTGCCACTAGAAGAAAGTGAAGAAGATGGAGAAGAAATGATGGAAGATGTGGCAGAAGGTTACTTAAATGAGCTTGTAGAAAGATACATGGTGCTAGTGGGAGAACGAGATGCAAGCTCAAAGATCAAAACATGCCGGATGCATGATCTCATCAGAGACTTTTGCTTGTTGAAAGCAAAACAAGAAAATTTCATCTACGTTCTTGATCGTCTTCAAATGGAGCAAGCTGATGTTAGCAGCTTGTCCCCTCCAATTGGTAAATTTCGCAGGCTTGGCATTAATGATTGGAATCTGATAAATAGGATTACAAACCCACATCTCCGATCTGCACTGTTCTTTGATGAAAACGTTTGGAAAGAGTTTGAGGAAAGGTCTTTTTTAGTCAAATGGCTGGAGAAAATAGACTATAGCCACAGTTGTTCTATTGCTATGGGTACTTTGTCCGCATTCTTAACGCTTTTTGTACTCTGTGAGTTTAGTCATAAAACTCGAGCGTTAACGAGATACATTTGCAACAATTTCAAATTGCTCAGAATCCTAGATTTTGGAGATGTGGATATGTCACTTATCCTCATATTATTGAGTGATATAGGTAGTCTCATCCATTTGAGATTTTTGAGTTTTCAGAGCTGTGCTTTCGTGGCAATGTTGCCATCATTTATAAGCAAGTTAAGGTGCTTGCAAACCTTGGATCTAAGCAATTGTGTTGGGGTTTATGTACCT